TCAAAAGATGTGGTACATACACACAATGGAATATTACTCAGAAATAAAAAAAAAAGATAAACATATGACTTTTGCAACAACATGGATAGAGCTGGAAGTGATGCTTTTTGAAATAAGCCAGAAAGAAAAGGAAAAATACCAGATGGTTTCACTCATAACAGGAGTATAAAGGACCAGGGGAGAAAATAATAATAATAATGAACAACTATATATCAGTGACATTTCATGGAGTGGAATGGGAAATGGGATTTAAAATGGGGGAGGGAGGATGCACTGGACTATGGTGATGGCACACAGGTGAATTGGTGGTGAAAAGCCATCAGGGATTACAACTGAGATGGGAAAAGTTACAAAATGATGTAAAAATAAAGCATTATATTATTTTTAAAATTTGAGCAAAATATTTAAAAAAAATTAAACAAAGTTAGTGGTTTCTACATAGGAAAGGGGAAGAAGGAAGGGTAAGCAGGGTTAAAGGAGTTAATTATGTGGAAAATGATAAAATTGGACTTCTAGTGATGTATTAATGCAGTATTAACTTTCTAACAATGTAGTATTATTAACAAGGTAGCACATGTGCTGATTTATAATGACATTCACCTAAAACTAATATTATAAAGCAATGATACTGCAATAAAATTGTTTTTAATGATGTGATAAAAACAAAAGCAAATACATAGTCATACACACTAGAAGAATGCTATTTGAGAATGGCCACAGAGATCGCTATTGGGCATCATTAAAGCAAGAACACCAAGGACTGCCAGCATCACCAGAAGTTAAGAGAAGGCATTAAACAAGTTTTTCCTTAAAATCTTCAGGAGAACACATGGACTTATTGCACTTTAATTTCCCATTTATAAACTTTAATAACAATTTATTTTGTTTTGAACCAACCCAAAATACAAAATAAATAAATAAATAAATTGATCCTTTTTTATTATTCTTGATAATAAAGTAAATCATATATAAGCATATTGTGCTGGTTGGCAAAGAAAGAAACAGTAATAAATAGTGTGTACATCAAATGGGAGCTGGTCTCCCAAGAAGCCGGAAGGGATTTATCCACTATTTGTGTCACTACAACATTTGTGATAGAAGGATATGCAGTGCTCCTAGGTGCATGGGAATGGAAACTTGATTTCCCAAAAGCACAAGGGGAAAGATCCTCTTTCAAGGCAAAGACATCCTCACCTAGAATAGGACCTGACACGTGAACATTGAATATATACATTGGATCCATGGAGGAGGAGATGCCACTGAATGAAGAGAACCGTAGATGGTGGCCTCAGCAGATCATGGAAAACCTGATGGACAATGCTGAGCAGTTTGACTGCTCAATGATTTTTAATTATGAAACAGTTGTAGTTATTTGTCCTAGTGGCAACTTTGACACAACCTCTGAACTATAAATTGGTTACTACTGGAATCATTTAAGTAAGTGACATCCTATAGTGTAACAATAAGGTTTTCATTTTTTTTTTAAGATTTATTTATTTGTGCATACAGAACTGGGGTACAGGCCAGAGGCTCGGGGTCGGCGAGAGGGTTCACCAGAGACAGAGTGGGGAACAGAACAGGCAGATCGATGAAGTACACTGCTGAGGGGAGCCACGGGTGGGTCAGGAGAGGTCTGCCACGCCATATGGACACCTCGGGGCAGGCAGCAGGTGGGAATCGAACTTATGCAGAAGTGGCTTTAGCTTCTCAATGCTGTGCTTTAACCCGCTGTGCCACCAGGGAGGGCCACTATGAAGTTATCTTAAATGTAACATATTCAAACTATTTTTAACATGAGGCTGTATCATCAATCTTTTGCATCTTGTCTTTAAATTGAGAATTTATAGAAGTTCTTTGCACAGTTACTACCCCAAGAGGAAGTCTAGTGCCAGTTACCAGACACTGTTCACTCTTTGTTATTTGAGACTCTTTCTGTTAATATATTCAATCCATAATCCTCATGGTCATCATTATTTACATATGCAATGAGTAAAAAGTTTTCTAAATCAAACTTAACTGTAGTTAAAATAATAAAAGAAATGTCCATGGATGGGTTATTGTTTGTAGTAGGAATATCAGTTTTGTTTGTGTCTGCCAATAACAAGCTGAGTGATTGAGACTTCAGACTTCTTTGGACCACACAACTTTGCATTTTATAGAAAGAGAGTGCCATATATTCTAGGTAATACACAGGGTGGTTGTAAAGGTAAAATGAACTGTTGATGAGAATGCTTTAATAATAAATAATACCATGAGTATGACCCGTTTGAAAAGATACTGCTGCAAGGTAGGGGGTACTCATTGGCCAGGGCAGGAAACTATCCCCAGCTCGTACTGTGGAGTTGCATGACATTGGGTAGTTACCTGATTAGCAGTTTTAGTTCATTTCTGTAAAATGGAAACATCAAAACCTTTGGGATTAAATGTGGAGAGTATATAGTAACTGCCTTATTCAACGTGGGTGAATGTCAAAGCTAATGTTCTTTATGCTCTTCTCTGCTATCAACAGGGTCCCCATAAGGATTGAGATATAAGGAAGTTTCTAATCTGAGGTCATCAGCTGCTCACATTTATTTTTTAGGCATTAAATCTTCCTCATTTACTCACTGCACTCTGGAAATGTCTGACTTTTAAGATATATGCCTTTGTTTGCTATTCATTGCTCATTCCTTTTTTTTTAAGCACTGATAAAATACAACATATATGAATATATACACACATTTATAGTTTGATGTATAAAATGTAATGTTTGGGACTTGTAGCTATGTGTGTTTGTGTATCACATTATATACATGCATATATACCCACATATATAATGTATATACATAGCTATATGTATATACATTATATATATATATCACATTATACACATAGACATATACTCCCATATGTGTGTGCATACCTATACATATATATGTGCATGCATGTATACAGACACACACAAACATTAAATGCAATATATACGTGTGTGTGGTACCTAAATGTGGTATGACAAACAGTGTTTAAATGTTTATCCCACATACTTCACTGGTGGGAAATGTTGTTCAATGATGTAAGCATAATGAATTCTTGAGAAATGTTAGCCAGTGAATGACATATTAATGAATGACTACTTGTGAAAGCACAATAACTAAATCAATTATGGAATTTATGTAATTGGCATAAATGTGTAGGTTATAGAACAAATGAAAATGTAAAGTTAATATAAACTAGATACATATATCATAAATTAACCTGATAATCTATAGATATTGTTGTAGTTATTGGAGATGCCATGTTTTATAATTTTCTGTCCAGAAATCTTATAGGCAGATCCTGGAAAGAGATCCTGGGCATTATTAGTCTATTTCTATTCTCTACTTGCTTTCTCCTTACTACACTAAATGCTTCATATTCACATTCTAATTGTTTCATCTGCTTTCCTCTAAGTTCCCCAAAGTGAGTTCCTTCACTCCAGAGTGTTCTTCCATCTTGATTATAGTCTATGCAGTTACTAAAAGTCACTATTTATTGATTTACTCAAACAGTCCCAGATACTGTCCTGTGTGATAACCAGGAAGTTGGTGCTATCAGCCCATTTTATAGATGAGATAAATGAATTTAGAAAAGTTGACTTCCTCGGGTCATCTAGTACAAGAGGGAAAAACTGGATTCAAATCCAGGCCATCCATCTGGATGCACTGTCAGTAGCACAAAACTGAGCTAATCCATATCATCAAAGTCCTAAAGTCATCAGTCCAGGACTATATCTCCATTCTCATCACACCCAACCCTCATCTGAACACAACTGCATTGTATGATGCTCAATAAGTAAACGCTCTGTGTCATTGTCTCTTACTAACTGACATGCTGAAATGCATACCCTCTTAGCAGGATCTGGTAATGATAGGGTTGGATGACTCTTATAAGTCAGTAGTACAGTGTTTGGCATATACTGGTGAGCATAAGGGGAATGACTATAACACATACCTGCTCTGCTTACCCAAGCATTCACCTGCAACAATCAAAGATGCCAGGGATATGCTTCTCTGCATGAGCTTGCTATACTTTGTCAGTATCCTCAATGATTCCTTAACTATAAATTTGATAAAATGGACTACACATAAACTTCAGAGGTAATGTGAAATCTGGGAAAGGGGCAAGAAAATAACTGTGAAAAATATTATTGGAGGTGCTTTCAGGGTGAGTCATATGACTGAAACAGATTATTTTGGAATTTATCCACCAGTAGAATAATAACTTTTTTAAGCTTTAAATTCTTGGAGTTACCATTTGAAATTTCTCTATGATATGACTATACCCTCATGTGTGGTGACTTGGACACCAACAGTATTATAACCTGTGTCTCCACAATGTTATTAGTGACTGTGCCTTTCAAGATGACAGCTTTCCTCACAGTCCTAGACTTGCTGAGTTGAAGTCATTGTTTTATGTGATAAACATCCCTGGCTAGATTATGTGTGCACTTCCTCTCATCTTTCCCATTCACATTTAAATTATTCCTTGAAGAAATATTGTTTCTTAGTTCAGATTCTAGTTTCTGATTTTGTCTAATGCAGTACTTTGTTTCCACAGTTTGCATTTCACCTTCTTTCTTCCATTGTAAAGATGTCGATTCCAAAATGTGTCTATTACTTTTTCTTTAAAAGGTTTATTTATTTGTGCATACAGAACTGGGGTACAGGCCAGAGGCTCAGGGGTGGTGACAGAGACAGAGTGGGGAGTGGCTTTAGATTCTCAGTATTGTGCTCTAACCCACTGCGCCACCAGGGAGGGCCATGTGTCTGTTACTTTTAAAGATAAATTTTTGTGTTAATATAAATTGAATTATACTGTATTAATGAGTTGACATTAATTTATTAGCTTATATATTTTAGAATTCAAAATCTCCCAACAGTTTGGAGCACTTTCTTTCACTGCTTCCTTATGAAAATGAATTAGAATTTAGTGCCTTTAGGACACTAACATAGTAACCTTTCCGTATTTTATTCAACTCTCAGGTTTGGAGATGGTTACACAGTCCGAGTTTGGCTCAGTCAAAAAGCAAATCAACATAGTGCTATTTCTGACTGTTTGAAGCTCCATTTTCCAGGAATCCAGTTCAAGGTATTACTAATATTTTACATTGCCTCTTTGTTTTCAGATTAAAAATATTATAAACACATTTTTTCTTGTTTTAATTCTTGGTTGTTTTGAGATGTTACCTATTTTCTTGTCTCGTCAAAGTACAGGCAATACTGTCTCACCAAAAACAGCATAGACAGCAGACATTGATTGACACTTGTAAAGGGTGACAAACTTGCCGTCAATCTCTTATATATTATGGCCCTCAGTCTCTGTGGGCACAACTCCTTTATACAGCTAATATTTTCAGGATGGAAAAATCACAAAAATAATGTATTCCATGTGATTGCTGTTTGTTTATAGGCCTGTCAGTTTTAGCTTCCTTCATAAGAAGTAACCTATGCCAAGGATCATAATTCCCTACAAACTCAATTCAAAATATTGCCTTTACACACATGAAGTGTTGTCTTCATGACATGAGAACAATTAAGTTATTTAATAACTTGTGCTCATGGACATTTAAGAAGCATTGTTGACAATTTGGGGTAATTTTTGATTCCAATTTATTGTAGTTTTTTTGAGGTTGTAGCTGTTATCTCATTGTTTCTAAAGCAGCCGTCACTTATTTATTTCAATGTGAACCATTGAGTAAAATCTTACCAGGTAGAAGAATGCTGTGTCATATGTGGATTCATTCACAATGTCAGTCTTAATGACCTATCAGAGTTACTGTTATCCTCATTTGCAGCTGTGAAAAAAAAGGCTCAGAACATTTATCCACCAAGAGTTGCTCAACACATGCTATGGACATCTGGGAACAGAGCCCAAGTATGAACTTTAGGGTTTGTGCCTATATTTCTCCATTGGGGCTTCCCATTTCTCGCCTGTCTCCAATCACCATATCACCCCTTAGAAAGGTCTTCACCATGCTTGTGGCAAAGTAGAATACATAGAGGCAGAACAGGTGACTTACCCACTTCCAAACATGCCCAAAGGTAAATTCTCACCATTAAGCATTTCTTGGAGACTACAGCACTGACCTTCACACCTAAGTCAATATTTAAATATGCATTTTGAAAAGAGATGGTTTATTGACCAATACAATGTGATTAATTATGTTTATTGATTGCTAATCATGTGATGTACATTGTTTTTGGTCTCCAGGGACAGCGCCTTAATTTACTGGAATATCATTTGCCAAAAAGATGGGCATGTTTAGCTGATCTATTCAAAGTACTAGAGAACAATAAGAACTTCTTGGATATCAAATATTATTCCATTAACCAAACAACTTTGGAACAGGTATAGTATGTGACTGATGTAGCAGGTTACATTTAATAGGGTTTGGACACCCAATAATCCAGCCAGATTATTTTTGAGATTACATTTCCTTCATGAATTTCTCTTTGATTTCACAAAATTCTGATAGGATAGTGAAAGTGATGAAGTTTAGTTTCGTTTGAATTCAACAGGGCTTCTACTTCTTCTCGAGCATATCAAGCACTGAAGAGGTAGATCATGTTCATTACCCTTCTGTCTTTATCATCCACATATGGAAGGGCACTCCAGTGTGGCTGATCACTAGCTTTGGGAAGCAAAGTCAGGAATTTATTATAATTACAACTTCATTCTAAAGTCATTAGGAAATTACAGGTGATTTAATAATTGTCCAGAAATGTTTATCAATCTTGGAGTATGCCTTTAGTGGATTTACATAACTATGGTGACAGAATGGGTAGGAATTATGAAGGTCTTGTAGAATTTAGAAAAAGTTGGGTGGTGCTTTGATAGTTTGGAGTTGAAAACAAATTGCTGAATGTGTTTATAGGTTGATTCCAAACCTCCCCCCCTTTTTTTTTCTTTTTTTTTTTTTGCAGGTGTTTATTAATTTTGCTTCTGAGGAGCAACAGACTAAAGCATCTACTCTCCATCCATCTGCTGACCATTACCATCTACAGCACATCCCCATCTAAGCACTAGATAAGGGTGCACTAAAAGGAATAAAACTGTATATTTTGTTACTAGTGCTCAGAGATTAAAGGAGCAAATGAGAACTCTGGAAGGCATTCCCTAGGCAGTCAAATTCCTACAATTTTGAAAACCATGTTCATTGGTAGCTAGAAAACTGAAGGTGTTTTTTTTTGTTTTGTTTTGATTTTTTTTTTTTCTGTAGACGTTTGTGAAATGTTTCCAATACATTTCTTCTCTTTGCTAAGCTAAGGTGAGGCCAACATAGAAAGGTTGAATCAATATAGAGTCTAATCAGACATTTTATATATAGAAAAGCTGTCAGAAATTGTCTATTCTGAACATTGCATTTTACTTTTAAGGAAACAATCTCCCAAGGTTAAAAAAAAAAGTGCTTAATTTATTTGTATAGATATTAGTACTTAGAATTATTCTTGAATTTTGTCATCTTTTAACTAGATAGGCTTGAGTTTATCTAAATAACAATTCAAAGATGTATGTGCAAGCTCTTCCTAACCCTGATTGATGATATATGGTATAATATGAAAAAAATTAGCAGTTTTTTTTTAATTAAAAAAAATTTAAGAGTAGAAATTAAAAATCTTTTGGGTCAACCTTTCAGCAAATGTGGCTGAGTACTTTGTATCATTTATAAGAGTTTTTTTCATAATTTTAAGATTAGAATTTTAGGAGGCTCATAAAGAAATATAACATGGATGTATTTTTTCTTTCTTAATTTGGATTAAAAAGTACTGTGCTATAAATTATTTAAAAAAAAAGTGGTGTACAAGGTGTGGTATTGACCATGTTAATGCATTAGAATCTCTTGAAAGTGTAATAGAAATGCAAATTATGAGGCCCAAGTTTAGAACTAGAATCCCTGACACCTAAGTCCTGCAGTCTGGGTTTCAAGACTGACACAGAATCAAGGTTGAAGACTTTATCTGTGGGGTTATCTCATAATCTTCTACCTATGTATTGCAGTATTTCTTAATATTCTTTGCTATGTTCTTAATCTTCAGTAAAGGACTAAGAAATGTGTCATATAAACATTTAACCTTATCCTATTTGGTTTCTAAGTAATAGTTTCACATTATCAAAGAAAAATACTGTCCATTTCTTACTAAATCAAAAATTAATCTGAATATTTTTTCGTATTAGTCCATACTCAAGATACTTTTAAATATTAAGGATTAAGTCAATCAGGGTTAGTTTTGATACCCCACCTTTATCACATGAAGTATGCATTCTTAAAACAGTTACAATTTAGGGTTGTATGATTTTTCACCATTTCTAGTTAGTTTATCAAAATGGAAGCTGTAATGTTTAGTTTTTGTTGTTGAATCAATAAATAAAATTTATGAAACATCAACATGCCTATATTGTGATGAATAAACTTTAATCTCCTTGGAATATAATCACATTTTTGCCAAAATCTTTCTTTACATTTTTAGGGATCCAATGTAATTTAAATAAGGAAGAAATACAACTACTCTAAATTTTTCCCTTGAAATGGTTAAATTTTAATTGAGTTTTACTCTACTATGTTATGCTTTTAGGGATTCCTTACCAGGCTTTGAGCTGCCATGTTCTTGTAGTTTATGGTTTAAGGTATGCCTTTAAAGAATAAACAGGAAGAAATGTGAAACCAATGTTAAAACACCATATTCCAGAAGACTGGACCAAAAGGTCAAATCTTATGTTAATGTTGAAAATGTCATTGTATTTATAAATCATGCAGGTATTTTAAACATTTGTCTTAAGATTTTTGAGTTTAAGGTCACTCAACTTTTTGAAGAATACCTTCTTTTGAAAACATTCTGATTAAAGTACATTATAAGACAGAGATCACAGTGATTATTCTAGTTCTGGTAATCTAGCTTTTATTATATAGTTTATATTTACCCAGATATTTAAACAGATGATGTATTAAAAAATTCTCATGCAAGATCATGACTGCATAAACCAAACAAGTATTTTTTTTTTTTTTTTAGAATATTAAAGATTAGAGAGCTCAAGTTTTTTGTTAGCTTACCTTCTGGGTAGTGCATTAGAAAAATAGCTGTATATAATCACACCAAAGTATCTTATCATATACACAACCCCCCCATCCACTATTTAGTGCTCATGCATGTGAATAATTTAGCTAAATCACAACTTTTTCTACTTGAATGGGTAATTATTTTTTAATTTATTCATTTCTTTACCTTTTGATTAGAATTTATTCTATTTCAAATTCTTTTGTTAAGATTTATTTATTTATGCATGCAAGCACTGGGTTACAGGCCAGAGGTGTGGGGGGTGAGAGGATTCACCAGAGACAGAGTGGGGAGCAGAATAGGCCGACTGATTGAAATACCTGCTGAGCGGAGCAGCTAGTGAGCCAGCAGAGAGGTCTGCCCCTCTATGTGAATCACCTCCCTAACCAGGGATTGAACTAGTGCCGCAGTGGTTGTAGATAGCTTCCCCTTTAATCAGTTATGCCACTAGGGAGGATCTCTTTTCATTTCTTATTGAAGTGTAATTCATATATAGCATATTTGTTTTTGTATACAGAGTTAAATTTTTGACTTTGGTATACAATGTAAAATGATCGCATAATATATTTCCATTGTTTTTGGCAAACTTTCAGATTTGCAGTTCTGTATTACGCCTGTGGAACCTCCGCTGTACATGCTATCTCTAAGATTTATTTATTTTTGTGCTTCTTAACCTCCTTCACTCATTTCTCCTAAACCTCAACCCTGTCTCTTTGTATCTATGGTAATGCATTTGTCGGTGTATACTTCTTTTCTTCCACTTAGACGTAAAAAGATATGGTATTTGTCTTTATCTGTTTTATTTCATTTTGACCTTTTTTTTTTTCATAAAATTGAGGTAACTGAATTACAACACTGTATGTGGTTCAAAGGCATAGTTGACACCTGCGATGCATGTCACCACAGCACAGCCATCACAGAGGGACCTAAGTTCTCCACCATGGTCCACTGTGCACCTTCTCCACTTTGTTTCCTTCCCTCATTCTTTCTATCTATACTCGAAATTAATTAGATTCCTAGACATTATTATAGGTTTGGTTTCATCTGACCTTTGTTTTGCTTCTCTATATTCCACATATTGGTAAAACCATTTGGATTTTGCCTTGCTCCTTCTGGTTTTTTAGTATGATTCCACCAGCTCCATCCATGTTGCTCTAATAACAGGATTCCATCTTTGTTGTAGCTGAGCATATGCATCCATATATGAATGTAATATTCTTCTAATCCACTCCTCTGTCCTTGGGTACTCAGGTTTTTTTCAAATTTAAGTACTGTAAATCGTTATTATACTTAGCTATTGCGATGAACATAGGGATGCACATATCCCTTTGATTTAGTATATTTGCATTCTTTGGATAGCTATCAAAGTGTGGAATTGCTGTATTGTGTTAGAGCTATACAGAATAAAGACTAATACATTTTTCCACAGGGTGTAGATGAGGTAATCCTCCCACCAACATTGTAGAAGGATTCTCTCAATATCCTGGCTAATACTATGGTTTCTGATCAATTGATAAAGGGAAACTTTTCACAGGTGTGAGATTGTATCTCATCATGGTTTTGATATGCATTTCCCTGAAAATTAGTGATGTGCATTTTTTCATATATCTGTTGAAGTATGTTTTCAAACCTCTGCTGCCCATTTTAAGTTATGTTATTGGTTACCTACTGGTTGAGTTGTAAGTGTTCTATATACACTTTGAATATCAACATTTTCTTAGGTGTATGATATGCATGTATTTTCAACATTCATAAGGTTTTTTTTTTTCCTTCGTTTTAATGATAGTTTTATTTACTGTGCTGGCACTATTTAGTTTGCTGTCCCATGTGTTTATGTTTACTTGTCTTTTCCCTACCTTTGTGGATACAAAGATACCACGGAAGCCAATGTTGAGTGTTTTGCCTGTTATGTATTTTATGGTTTCAGGTCTTACACCCAAGTCTTTTATCCATTTTGAGTTAATTTTTTTGAAATGGTGATCTAATTCCTTCTTCCCTTCCTACCCTCTTTCCTGCCCTGCTTTCTTCTCCCTTCGTTTCCTCTTTCTTCCTTTCATGTGAGATTGCTCAGACATTCTTTTGTCCAATGTATGTTCTTGATGTCTTTGTCATAGACTAGCTTTCCATATATATAAGGGTTTACTTCTGGATTGTATATTCTATTAGTTTGTGTGTCTGTTATTTTCTTGTAGCATATTGTTTTGATTACTATAATTCTTTAGTATAGTTTGAAGCCTGGGAGTGTCATACTGCCACTCTTCCTTTTCTCTGTCAAGATTGTTTAGACTGTTCGGAGTATTTTGTAGTTCCACATGGATTTATTCTTACTTTTTAAATTTGAGACAAACATTTTCTGTGTATATTATCATGTTATCTGAAAATAATGATAGTGTTACTTCTTCTTCACCAATTTATTCCATTTATATCTTTGTCTTGCCTAATTCTATTTAGGACTTCCAGTAATATGTTGAAGAGTAGTGATGAAAGTGGACATCTATATCTTTACAGGAAAATTTTTCAGCCTTTCAGAAATTAATGCAATGCTGACTGTAGGTTTATTGTAAATGGCCTTTATTATATGAAGGTATGTTCCAACCACCCCAGTAGTTTGAGTTTTTTTTTTGTTAATCACAAATGAGTTCTTAAACTTTTGAAATGTATTTTCTACATATATTTATATTATGCATCTATTGATATGTATATTTTTTCTATTTATTTTGTTGATGTAGTATATTACATTGAATAATTTTCAGATGTTGAACCATCCATGTAACTCTATTGTAAATCCCACTGCTATATGTTTAAATTTATTATGCTGACATTTTGTTTAGGATTTTTACTTCTATGTTCATCAGGAAATTGGTACATAGAGTCCTTTTTAAAAATATATCTGTCTTAGACCCTCCTTGGTGGCACAGCAGGTTAAAGCACAACACTGGGAAGCTAAAGCCATTTCCTCATGAGTTTGATCCCTGCCTGCCCCGGAGGTGACCACGTGGTACAGCAGACCTCTCCTGCCCG